AGCTCTAAAGGTGGATGGCCTTTGGTGCATCTTCTTTTTTATTTCGCATCCGGAAAATATAGAGGTTTGCGTACTTCGCTCAAGTCCTTCCTTTTTTACTTGGAATTTTGGTCCATCGAGAAAGGGATGAAGGTGAAAAATCGGTGTAGCATAATGGACAAACTATCGCATTGAAATTTATAAATTTTATCATGGGTTTGGTGGGAATCATACATTTTTTTTGATAAATCATGCAACATCGTCGTGTTTCTTGGAAATTTTATTGCTTGTGATTAGCCACGTACGAATTACAGATGAGCCGTTCATAATTATAAATTCAAGATATTTTTCGGGTGGCAGCAGCTTTTTTCAGTCGCCCGAATATGGATGAAATAATATTATCGTATGCCTATTTTTTTTTTTTTTTCAATTCGCTTCATACTTTCTCGATCGATGACTAGAATCCCACGAATAGGACATGACTATACACTGTTGCGGATTTTTAATTTTGCGTGTGTCGAATTAATCATTTGTTGCGTTGCACGGCGTTCACTACATGATTTTTACGTTTTCGTTTGTTTTCCTTTTTTTTTTTGTTTTGAGTTTACTTTGTTTTTGAGTTCAAATAACATTACGTACATAGTCCTGTATCACTATAGCTATCAGGTACAAACATACATACATGTAATATTGCAAACGTTTGACATTTTAAATTAACAACCCTGTTTTGCATGAAAAGCTCTTATGGACATTAAAAAAAAAAAAAAAACGAGCTTTGAAATAATTTACGGTGCACACCGCAATTTGAACAATCGATCCGTAAAGGCTTTCCGCCTAAAAAAAAGTAAGACAGGCCCACAATGGCAACAACAGACGTAGATCTAAGGAAAAAAAAAAAAAAAAAGATAAAAATCGAAAACAAGAGGTAAAGAAAGTGACATGTGTTCTGATCAGAAATATTGTGCTGCTTTTGTTTTTGTTTTGGTCTGTTTGCTCTATTTCTATTTGAAAAAACCCCGGTTGCCGGCTCTCACGTAGGTGCGTGGGAAAAAAGCCCGAGCCGATGATCTTCTGCATGACGAGCGACTCGATAAACACGACCTTCGTCATCGAGTGCTGCAAAGAGGATTATTGCAATCGCGGCCTGAAACCGCAGCTTCACCCGCGCAACAAAGAAGGTACAGTCTGACCAGTAGATTCTTCCTGGATATTGACTCTTTCATCCCCCCATCCACGACCCCTTTTTTTCTATAACTCTGTAATATATACATTATATCCTTATCTAATGTTCTATTTTTTTTTTTTTTTTTTTTTTCTAACCAAACAACTTCTTCTCATTTATTTATATCTTCTCCTGTTGCCAACGTAGTGAGTAGAACTTTCGCATCAACTCGTCTGCAAAATATAATGACACATGTACATATTAATCGGTGTGTCTCCGTTTGCCATCCTTTTTTATATAGTACATATGTTTTGTCTCTTGTATACATATATGGTGATGCAAGAAGTAAGTCAACTTTCCTGTCCACTACCATTACCGTTTCTCTCTCTCTTTTTTTCTACCTTTACGTACTTGTATCGCACCGCACTTTTTTTACCTTCACCCGCAGTAACGCGATACAATCCTCCGTTTCCCTCTTGTCTTCAAGTGTCCTCTTTGCATATTTTTTTTTCTCAGGTGCACAAAAAAAAAAAAAAAAAAAAAAACTGACATGTACATAGACAAGTTACACAACGTGTTATTTTCTTCTTCGCATGCTCACTCTCTCCCGTTGAAAATGCAAAAAATAAAAAAAATCCCAGATGTTGGTTGCAATTGAAAACAATATAAGCTCCCCTCCCCCACTGTAATATATACACAAACTACATCCACAGAGCCTCGTAATCAATTTTTAACGCCCCGACAACTTATGTAAGCATACAGTTTATCAAATTACAAGATATCAGCGATCAAAACGTCCCATTGTCGAACAAACGCGCGAGCCGAGAAAAAAAGGGGCCGAGCTTTCGTAACATTTTCCATTGAGTGTAGCCCACGAGGGGTACACTGCATACGTGTACCGCGCCAAAAACATTCCTAGCTCTCTTCCTCCATCCCCTCTTGTTTCAAACAAAACGCACGCCTTGCTTATTATATATACGCCTACTCAGTCGTTTGTTATTTATATTTATATGATGTACCTGGACATACACCCGTCAATTGCAATATACCGATTATCTCTAACAGCCGCGGGTTTTTCTCACAATTAGATAAACGGGCGAGTTTGCCTAACGAGCTATACTCTCGGTAACACACGCTCGCTCGCCTATACAAGGAAAACCTCTGCGGCATTGTTTTGCGCGGCGGTCGTAAAACGCAGTCGTAAACGTCGAGGTGCTCGTTGGAGGGACGCGCACTCGTGGTTGTAAATAATTCGGCTGATGGGTGTCGATTGACCGGACGATCGATGGAGATTTCGTTCTTGATGACTCTCCGATGATCGTACTTTCGATCGACTCGCCCCAGTGATGAGGTGTCAAATTGATTACGAGAGCCCCCGGAGATGCTGCTACATGCAGTACCATATACGGATGTGAGAATGCAAGTGAGGTGGTATTTCAACCATCCCTTTGAAAGAGTTTTACCACTTTCTCCCGTAAACTCAAAGATCAGCTTGCTTTCTAGATGACATGTTCAACAAACCACTTGCATCTTTCATTTTTCCTCTCTTATTCGGTAAAAATGTTTATATTATCCTTACTGCGTGTACGATTGACACGATGTGGTGTACAAACTGTAACATAAGTAAGTACGAATGATTGAAAGTGACAGCACAATGGAAACCACCGATTGCAGCAAGCGTGCTAAAGGAACGAACGCATATATATATATATATATATATACGATATCCGCGCGCGTTGCAGCAGTAGGTCACTTCCTCATGTGAATAAATAAATGTATGTATATAATGTATGATTTCTCGCCTTTTGTCACCTATTTGGCTCTCTATCTTCATGGTGCCTATAGATTTGCATCTCCCGTGCCTACTTGTATTTATATACGTATTATTATATCTGTAACGCAATGTACATAGTCACAAGAGAGTCCACGATTATTCGTCTGTCTGTGTATACGTTCTATCTCTTCGTGTTTTTTCAAACTGAGCTGATAAATATATATGTACGTGTTGGTGTGGCTGTGGGTGCGTTTCTCTCGTTTCCTTGGCTCGGCCGCACCAAAAAGCTGCCTGCAGGTAGTTTCCAAGAGTCGACGGATCATTAAAAATGCACGAAAAAAAAAATAAAATAAAAAACTGATTCATCCTCGTACGTAAGCGCTCGCTGCGCAAAACTCGTTTGCGAATCTACCGGGAGTCGTTTGATCCCCCTCCCTCGTTCCTTCCTTCTTTGCTCCCAAGAGTACATAATATATATACGTACGGGCGCTTGTTTATACACTGCGCTTTTAATGACTCGTCGTCGTATTTTACTTACGTATACACGATGTAGTTTTTCGAGGCAACACAAGTATTAATTCGAGATAAGCTTGTTTTTTTTTTTTTTTTTTTTTTTGCGAGGAAGCAAAAAAAATTTCCACTCAGAGTCCTGTAGCGCAGAAACTGCTGATCTTTGGTTGCACCCATGCTGTGTATGGTGTATGTATACTGCGGCACGTAAAAAAAGTACAACACTACTCGCCCAAGAGTAGTAAAGGCCCGCGTGAGGGGGGTAGTAAAAATGTTAAGTTCAGAGGGAGCAGAGCCTCTATTAGCTTTTTCTCCGCTCTCGTGTGTACACGTGCCAAAAGTAATATCTTAGCCGCGTAGCATAATACACGGGCACGTAAGCTCTTGATTGTGCGCGCGTCTGTGTGAGCGTATGAGTCAATATCTGAAAAGTACGGGATATCGCAATAGTCGAGTTATTATTATTATTTTTGTTTTTTTAACCTGCTATCGTTGATGCGGAGGGCTCGGCTCTGCTTTTGTCGATGAAATCGTTCATCTTTTTTTTCCTTGGAACAAAAAATAAAAAAATAAAAAAAAGAATTTTTTTTAATGAAAAGAAAAAAAAAAAAGTGGACGATATCTACTGCATATAAGCATGTGTCCCGTCACTCGAGCAGAGTGGTTGGAGTACAGTAACTTCTCCGAACTAATAACTTTGGCTTGCCGACTTATTTTCAGCAGAACGTTCTTCGCCTCTATCAGAGACTTGGTAATCACAATGGTAATACTGTACAAAGTAACGACTAATTTCTTTCTGGACTCGTGGATCTCCTGATCTCAATAACACTAATAATATAACAGTGTGGTATTCAAGATTGTATATATAATTGTAGTCTAATTAAAATTCAGGTAGTACTAATTAATGGCTTTGAAAAGTGTAAATATCTCATTTTATCACGATGTTATCATTTTGCCGAACAAATAATCATGTGTAATTTTAAGAGTGGAAAATTTCAACGTTGCAGACTTGGGCAAAATTATTTTATCTTTTTTTTTTAAATACTTTGAAAAAAATTTTTTTTTTTTATTCCGAATAAAGTGTATATTATTTTTGCTAGAACAATTGTTTACTCAACAATATATCCAAGATAAAATATTTTAATACTTTGATTCTCTTTTTTCTTCTTGATTCTTTTCTTTTCTTTCAAATTGTAATGGCATTCTTTGACCTGGAAAAACTATCGTGAAGCTCTTTGTTGTAAATATACCATAGTAACTAAACAAAATGTTTTTAGCACGAATAATGCATTACACATTTGTCAAAATAATTATACTCCAAACTCATTGAAACAGTATGGGCGTCCGAGTCTGCAATGATGGTACTTTGAATTTCCTAAATACCCAATGAACAATCATTACTCCCTTGCTGTATAAACGTAAGCTTCGATGTACCAAAAAAAATCACCATTCACTCAAAAAATGTATCTTCCCTCCCACGTGGGCGTAGTAGATAAATGAAGAAAAAAGTAAACATAGTAGAAAAAAGAAAAAGAAAAAAAGGTTCCAAGGGGTGAAAACTGTGGTGTTTCTCAGGTGTTACAACAAGAGGAACTTTTTCCCGGACCCAAAGTACTCGGTCTGGTGCAGAAGCAGCGACAGCGACGTTCTACACGGGCTGACGGGCAATCGTTTCGTCGTGTCATGCTGCGACAACGCGGATTACTGCAATCGCGATATCAGGATGACCGTGCCGCCTGTACTTATAACACCCTCGACGGAACGCCTCCAAGGAGGTATAACACGCGCTGGGGATCAAATCGTTATATCTCTCTCACTTTGTCACTTTTGGTTCACTGTCATATATTTACATCGCTATATACTTGGGGGATGTGTCATCAATCATCAGGGCGGGTATCGGCCTCTCGCGGTTTTGGGCCCCATCGTGCATAATAATGTGATACCCACGTGTTTTTTTTTTTTTTGTTGTGCCTCATCTGTTTTCGTTGCATTTTGTGTTTTGGGGGTGCTACTTATAGTTATTCCGATGCGAAATGTCGCGTGGTTTTAGCTGCTGCCGATGCCACAAAGGTCGATAAAATCATTCATGCGCACACTTTTTTGTTTTTTTCTCCAACGTTTCATCAATACATGTACTTCAACAAGAAACCACCAAAAAACGACTGTTCAGCGGCATGTCAATGAGGACGCGGAAAATAACGGTGGGCCAGATATTCGCGAGGAGCTGCATGGTCCTGGGAGCTCTCTCGTCACACCACGGGATGCCATTTCCCTGCGTAGTCGTATAAAAATTGTGCCCTTTTTAGTCCTCCTTGGGATTTTTTTGTTCGTACTGTCGCTCGTGACGAGGGATGGGGCATGAAAAAGAAAAAAATTAAAAAAAAGGGAGAACGCCGATGACGTGAAAGAGAACTGCGCACAAAGGGAAAGATCTTACGCTCTGCAAGCATGAGAGAGGAGTGCCTGCATCTTTGGGTTATTGGTACATGGGTGTATCAGGTATTATATGTACATCCAAGATTTCATCGAGCAAGAGTTGGGTTGATGTTATGTGTTTGGTATAGCATCGAAAAGAACGAGCTGGTGTACTCACGGATAGTATATCGAAATGCGTTCGAGTTTCATCGAAAGCTCAATCGTTCACGGTACAACGATGCGATGAGGGTGAAAATAGCGCGCGCGTAATTGTAACGACAAACAAAATAGGATACATTGATGCAGTATGTGTTACTAGGATAATAGTGAATATGAGAGAATCCACCAAAAATATTCCGTTTTTGACCTCCATGTTAATAAAAACAATTGATTTGGGGCACACCTTCCAGATAGAGCTCATTTTACTCGTAATACCGTGTCGTATATGAGAAAAAAAGTTTGAACACGGGTTTCGGTGAGGGTGACACCTTTTCCCGTGATTATTTACGTGTTAAAAGTACATCTACATACATAGTCGTGCTTTTTCGACTCACGTGCATCGACACGCGTTTAATCGCCTATTAGTTCGTATTAGCTGTTTACTTAACGTATAATCATACTTAAAAATATTTCTCTCGTCGAGCTCATCAGTTGGGGATGAAAATATAACGGTCAAAAGCTCACTTGCACACTTTTATTTTTCAATGCGTTGGCCTATACGTGTGACAGGGATGAAAAAATTCGCATTAGTAGATACGGTGAACGGTGGGGGCTTTTTTTCCTTAACGATCCCAGCTGCTCGTGATATAGCGCTTTTAGCGATTACTTCTCCATCGAAGCAAACACGAGTGTTCTGAAAAAAAAAAAAAAAAAAAAATTACCGCGCAAACAAACACGTTGGACGGAAAAAAGTAAGCACCGATAACCACAACTTTGTGATTTTTTTTTTTTTGCACCGAAAGTGCGAAAAGTTAACGAGTTATCGAGCGTCAGAGCTCAACAAAAAAAGTCGCACGAAAAAAGCTGCGTCAGCTAATTGCCGCTCATCAACGAACGAGGAAACCATCGCTCCTGTACTTTTATCTCGTCCGACGTTCGATGATCTACACACGCTGACCCCCTACTCTTTCGGCACGTGGCTACTCCAACTTTCCGAATCACGTGACGAGCTTTTTTCACATTCAAATATTCTACGCTCCATCCACGCGCGTCTCTGCGATCGTCGCGTGTTACCATTTGCAAAGTGATCAAGTTCAAGGCCAAGCCGCTCGAGCAGATCCAAACCCGAGAGCTTCGTGCCTGGGTTTTTATTTATGAGCAATCGAAAACAGTCGAGCGCATTTTCATTTTGCTATCCACTCAAACTTTTGCGTTGACGTGGAACGTAATACTTGAGACGCGTCAACGTATAAGCTCCAAAACGAAAACAACGTCAAGAGAGACAAAGCTGCTACGTATAGAGTATGGCTACGTTGTCTCGGAAATTTCACATAACTGCTCGGAGTGTAGTGCACGCGCAAGCAAAGTAGCACCAACTGCGCCTCGTTATCTTATCGCGAGTTACAGTGACAACGCAAGAGTTACAGTCGAGGTAAAGTCGCGTTCGAGAAAACGAGTGCCGTGGCGCCGCTCGGGTCAAGGCGCCCCTGAAACCGGTCACTCATCTCGGCGCGTATCGTCATCTTATCTTCTTCTTCTTTGTTCTCGTTTATCTGATGTATGTTTTTTCTTTGAATTATAATATTTTGACGAGGAGTTGTGGAGGTTTTTCACAGGAGGAGAGGAGCTGCAAGCTCGATAAAGCTTGCGTCTTTTCGCCAAAACTTTGAAAAACGTCGCAGTAACTGGTTGGACCTGTCAACCAACGGAAATCCAAGCGCGTAACATTTGAATATATGAGCTTTACCAAACGTCTGCGGAGTAGAAACAATGAGAGCACTTTGGTCTTACGACGAACTTTAGCGTGCTTATAAAAATTTCGACAGTGGCACGTAAAACAAAAAATCTAACGACGCAACTGCAGTTAATACAATCTTGAAGCTGAGAACACGTGGATAATCTCGTGTACGTGTGTGCGTGGTTAATTATAAGCGTAAATCGATAAAAACACACACGGTGACGATGGCTGAAAGAAAAAAAGATGAGCGATCGCAGAGTGCACAGCTCACGTACTCGTGTGTTGTTCTCTCCGACACGTCAGGTGAGCTATGTGCCCGACTGGGAGATAAGTATACGCACGCCAGCGCTTTGTTCCATCCCTCTTTTTTTGTTTGTTTTACTTTGGGGGTAACGAAAAAAAAAAGACAAATGATTGATTGCGCTTGGAGATCCTGTACTGCCTGCGACGATCAATACGCTCGACCTTTCGTTCGTCTCCCAAAAGGGGTATAGTCGGGAGGGTAGAACCGAGAGACGTAGAAAAAGATAGTCAACGTACACTTGGAGTTTCTCCCACGGAAAAATAACCTTGGGAAATCGCTTGTGTTTTTATACATTCACACAGTCAATAGCTGCTCGTACCAACATCTACCGCTGGACCGAAAGTTCTTGCTCGATGAAATACTTTCGGAAGGTCTGTATTTCGGAAAATGCGGGTCCAGGGTCTAACCATCCTTGAAACAGTCTCGCATGAAAAAAAAAAAAAAAAAAAGACGCAAACCGTGATGAGGATCCACCAGTGCATAACACGTCGAATCAACTAATATTGTAACGCGGGTTGGAAGGAGGGAAAAAAAGAATACAGGCTTGTCGTCTTTATCGCGTAGAGCACTCGTGAGGTTTCTCCTCCCAGTGGCGTAAAGCTCGGGAGCACAGGTAGTCGTGCCCTCAGATCGGTTGGCCGGTATAATCGCAAAACCGCAACTGCAAGGCACTGCTTATGTTCGGTATATACTCACGGGGTGCTGTATATATATACCTGTAACTTGTGCTACGACTCATTTTGCCGTGAATGCACGTGTACCCCTTGTTTTTTTTTTCATCTATGGTTTCATCATCTGGATAATACGCTCTTGGTACCCGCAGTGACACTAATTCGATTGTTACCCCCTTTTTTTTTTTTGGTTGTACGTGTGTATTTTTCACATATATATATAGGGTTGGCCATACACGTGCTATTCATGACCACTGGTTCGCATGTAGATACGATGTATCATCTCGATTGGAGTTATTATTATCGACACATTTATGATAATCCGTGGTGTTGTATAAAGATTTAAAATAAATGTACATACGCATTGACCGACGCCACGTTACGGAAATTGGGACTGGTGCCCTGGTTGTGTGTTGTTTATGTCACTTTTTAATCGATAAAGACAACGCGTGTGTGTTTTTACGTTTCTGTGTGTTGTTTTTTAACGCTAAAAATAACCGATTAACAGATGTATTATGTTTTCGTGTCAATGGACTTTGGTTGAATTTGCTTTTGGGCTTTACATCCTACAATGATACCTCTGTCTGTACACATTACAAAGGTAAGACTCATCAGGGAAGTTGAAAGATGTTTTTTTTTTTTTTTTTTAATTTTTATTGCGACATTTTGTGTGCCATACCGATTGATAGAAAAAAAAGAAAAAAAAAAGATTACTTAACGAGTTCAAACAAAAAATAAAGAAAGCTAAGATGCCTCACGCAAGGAACGAGAAATACACTTACTTCGCTTCCTCTAAGCCGGAAGCTGCGACCCATCACCGATAAAACACAAATCGGCGAGTATTAGCTACAGTGTAATGTATACACTCGCTAATCCCTCGAATGCACGGGTACTCCTGCCTAAAGCTATGGAGGACTTTCCGAGACCTACATCTCCATCTCTGTGTGTGTGTGTGTGTGTGTTATGCGTATACGTGTGGGAAATAAAAGGTCTGCTGCTCGTTGCTCTATGTCCTATGGCTTTTGGATTGCACCTGCTTCGCCTGCAGCCTGTTTTCTCTCTGCTGTATACATGCGCCTATTGCTCCGCTTACACCAACATATTATAACATCATACATGCATCAGATGGCTACTGGTGTCCCTTTCCCTTCTCTTGCTTGGCTTAATCGACTTTTTTTATTTGCACGACCGTACATTCTATATACACCCGATTTTACCTCCACCACTGCTTTTCCATCCCTCGCGCGGTCCGTTTGACGATCGAGTGCTGATTACAGCGCAGCTGGGCGATGCTCACTGGTAAGTAAGAGTCTCTCTGTCCATGAAATCCAACTACGCGGAGCTCTTCTCCTGGGCTCTCCTTTTTGCTTCACCACTGTTTCCAGCCCGAGTCCCTGGAACCCTCGGGCGAGAGCTTCGCGTCCATAGAGACAAGTTGAGCCGCCGCAGCTTACGTATAATCTGCAGTCGATCGTCAGAGCGCCCATCAGCTATATAAACTCTTCCGCGTCCAATTGTCCGTCCATACTAACATTGGTCGTGTCCTTATCGTTGAACAAATGAAATCATCATGAGGTCGTAGCTGCAGGTGGTCACGGCGCGACGTGGGAAACTTGGCGCATGGCCCTGACGATAGCCATGCCGGTCTGTGTGGTCTGCATCGTCGTGATGATAGTGTACAACGTGCGGGCTTCGAGGAGGAGGCCAGCGGGACGTCACTTTCCCGACGACTCGCTCGAGGCCCCGGATCGCCCGATCCTCGACGGCGTCACGATCAAGGACATGCTCGAGCTCACGACCAGCGGCAGTGGATCAGGTGAGGAATATAACGCAGTGCCTTTTTTTTTTTTCTTTCTTCTTCTTTTCCGTGCCCGGTTGCGTGCCGATCGTTTTCCTGGCGCTGATGATATTCGAGCCAAGCCGCATAAAAACACACAGGAAAAATCGATATCTCGTACGCGATTGAGCTGCACTTTTTTTTTTGTCTTGAGATTTCAATGACTAGTCCATAAATGTACTCATCTGGTGTCGAAACCAAGTGGGGTACGGAAATAGTCGAGTGCTGTTTGTACCTTAATTGCTACGTACAACTGCTTTTGAAAAGATAAAAGTGCGAGCTTCTTGAGGCAAAAAAGCGCCAACTGGTTAAATCATTTATGTTGTGCCCCGGGGAGAGGTTGAAACTAACTACTAACCTCGTATGATCACACCCGCGAGCTAACAATCATCGCCCAAGCGTACTAATTAAACAACTTTTGTCCTCCCAACTGGAGTCGGTCTACCGCTCCTGGTGCAACGGAGCATAGCGCGGCAAATCCAGTTGGTCGAGACGATCGGCAAGGGCCGGTTCGGCGAGGTGTGGCGGGGCCGCTGGCGAGGCGAGAACGTCGCCGTCAAGATATTCAGCTCGCGGGAGGAGCGCTCCTGGTTCCGGGAGGCCGAGATCTACCAGACGGTCATGCTGCGCCACGACAACATACTCGGCTTCATCGCGGCGGATAACAAAGGTTTGCCGATGCTTATTCATTTTTTACCCAACAGATACTGAGAAAATAAAGTAAAGTAAAGTAAAAAAAAAAAAAACCATCTGACGATGGCATTAGTTTCGTCTGACGTTGTTTCGCGAGCAAATAAGTAGAAGCAGCCCGAAAATAGACGGTGAAAAACTCGAACCCTATGAGATATATTTATCTTTCGCATGGGCAGACAATGGCACGTGGACGCAGCTCTGGCTGATAACGGACTACCACGAGAAGGGCTCGCTCTTCGATTACCTGAACCGCTCGACCGTAGATACGAACGGCATGATCCGCATGGCTCTGTCCATCGCGACGGGTCTGGCCCACCTGCATATGGAGATTGTGGGCACGCAGGGGAAGCCGGCCATCGCCCACCGGGACCTCAAGTCCAAGAACATCCTCGTCAAGACAAACGGCACCTGCGCCATCGGTGACCTCGGGCTGGCCGTGCGCCACGACGTCATCAACGACAAGGTCGACATATCGATCAACAACCGGGTTGGCACCAAGCGATACATGGCACCGGAGGTACGAGGTGTTGTGGCAATAACATTTTGTGGACCTTTCGTGTGACGATTTTGTTCCCAACCAGGTGCTCGAGGAGACCATCAACCAGAACCACTTTGACTCGTTCAAGCGGGCGGACGTCTACGCCCTTGGGCTGATCTTCTGGGAAATAGCCAGGCGGTGCAACGTCGGTGGCATCCACGACGATTACCAGTTGCCGTTTTACGACGTCGTGCCCTCCGATCCGACGATCGAGGAGATGCGCAAGGTCGTCTGTACCGACAGGCAGAGGCCCTCCATCCCCAACAGGTGGATGTCCATCGACGTGAGTACAAGTGGACAATCTTGACTCCAGATTTTCTATTTTATTCATTAATGTTTTCCCTTTTTTTACTTTGTCTCGCAGGCTCTGCACGTTATGTCCAAAGTCATGAAGGAGTGCTGGTACCACAACGCGGCGGCCCGATTGACGGCCCTGAGGATCAAAAAGTCTCTGGCCAATTACAACGCCATCGAGGACATGAAGTGAAAAGTACGCGCGTCTCTTTCTCCCGTTGAATTTTGCCGCGCGAAGGGCTCGAGTGTCTACATAATACACGCACCGAAGACTGAGTACACGTTAAGTAAAACCCAAGCAATGACGTTCCTCTTTGGTGTAATTGACCGATTGGAAGGAGGAAAATTCGACAAACGGACCGACCCTACTGTGAATCTTCGTTTCGAGATTTTCTTCTTTTTTTTTAACTGTCAGGGAATGTCGTTGGACCCGATTCTCTTGGCACTGTGATCGAGGAAACAGATTCTTCATTGTAAATATTTTGCGTTGTGTAAAAAACCTTCTTTTTTTTCTTCTTTTTCGTGAAACTTGTGTAATACTCTACGTGAAAATGGTTAAAGCATCGATTTTCAGTGTTCTTACCAATGTCAGAACGATGCCGGTAGTTTGTTACGGTATCTCGCGACTTCCTGTTTTAGGAGCAGCACTAAAGGAACGATTTTCACTTGTTGACTTTTTTATACGAACATTTTTAACCGACAAAACAAGGAAATATTGAGTCTGACTAAGTAAAATGCACACGATGATCCGAAATCGGTAGCAGTCCTAGTTTGAGTTGTGTTGCGGTGATGTCATGACCTCACGCTTGTCGAGCTACGTTTTACTGTAAATTTATATGAATTATACAATTCAGCTGAGGAGGTAGGCTTTGCTATGCAATAGATATCAGATATGTAAAATCTTTGTGAGGACTTTTTTTTCTAAAACCACGTAAAAAGCTCTCCTTTGGATCTTGTAAGGTGATTTTCATACGTCAGGAGTGTAGAAAGGCTGATATTATTGACAGGTGCTAAGTGACGAGGAAATTATAGAAAAATAATTATCTATACTGTCAATGTAAAATGCTGTGGAATTATATTACTAAAGTTAAATAGTAAAGACGAAAAGAAAACGAGGAAAATGATAAAATGTGTGTGTACAGGACTTTCCCGCATAAATGATGTATTTTTGTATCATTTTGTAAACCAATTCTTCCGTTTACATATAAAACTGTAGCTCTGGATATGAAAAAAAAAAAAAAACTCTACCTCCGGGTCCAGCTGTGTTTTGCCTACTACTTCTCGCGGATCATACAACTCAACACGAAGACTGACACACGTGTGTAACACTTGTACGTATACGTTGAGGTACGTAAATTTATCGATCGTAGTTAGTTTTGATGCGAACAAACGTTGAGACAGTACTTTTCAAAGTATCTTTACAAAACATCGAAGCAATGCAATATTCTTATTTTTCTTTGTATTTCTGAGACTTTTAAAAACTCGAAACATATACAAATTTTATAAATGAATTACATTTTTGAAAGAAAAAATTGAACAATGCAAAGACGGCTATTGAGACGTTTGTTCTTTAGATTTCATACATTCCTGTACAAAATACGTAGGTTAATTTTTATACGTAAAATATAATCCATCACACCGCAGTAAAGTTGACATTACATTTAGGAATATACCTGTACAATAAAAACAGATCCGCGATGTTCCCCTTTGTCAGTTTAAGAAGTCCACGCCAGCAATAGTTTCCATACCTACATTATACTCAAGACTTTCCGAAATTCGTGCCTCGGCTCGCGCGAATCCCTCCACATTCTGCTAGTACAACTCTGTGCCAATAACCCTCTCGAAAGTTAACTATAACAGGAGACCACTCGACGATGAATGGAAATTTATCCCACATATCTCCTCCGATCTCCTGATTTTAACGCGATTCGTTTGCAAAACGTGAATACGTGAAAATCCAGCTGGGCCCGAAAATTGATCGGAAAAACATAGTAGACATTGTATCGAATGATTGATATACTGCCAGTGAATTAAAATTAAAAACGCTACCTCTTTCGCTTTGCTGCGCTTATTTTTTCTCTTTTAACGAACCCGACTTGTACAAAGTAAATACACGTATAAAAACGTTGCGTAATTTTAAGAGCTTTAACGAAGATAGTTTCGCAGGATATTTCGATTTTTATTTATTCCAAACCTGTCTCGAATGATGAATTTTAACGTAAAATCGTTTTTTTCAACTCGAAATCATAATCAACCTGCGATCGTCTTACACAAGCAATTGTAAATATTATACATATGAATCATGTAGACAACATATGTTATAAATAAGTTATACAAATGCTAAATTTTAATTGTAACTAATACAGCCTTAGATTTAAGATTTATTGTAAACCAGTGATCACCAAGTCTTTTGTTTCTCCCCTCCCCCCACTTTTCGTGTTGTTACTGCTTAAACCCAATATTTGATTTTTAAACTGTTTTAATGAACTCGATCATCCATACTTTAGTTAAAAAAATGATTTTTCAATAACTTTTCTTCCGATTATTTATATTTTATCTTGAAACTTTATTTTTTTAATCTATCGTTTTTTAATGCTAGGCATAAGATTGTTGATTCGTATACATAAAAAAAAGCTCCGATACCTTTTGGAAATTAAGTTGTACAATAAAAGAGATAACGAAGACGTCTTGTTCTAATCATGATGCTCATAAACCTCATGTATAATGTATTTTATATAAAAGTGAAACAGTATATATACAATTATCGGTATGAATTGTCGTGATTTCAACCAAGTTGTCGCAAGTTTTTATAAAGAAATGTAACGTTGACCCATTGTAGTTTCCATTCGTGTAAATAAAGGTATGAATGTTCAATGGACGAGACAAAGAGAGAGTATTGATTTTGTGCCCTTTAAAACAAGTTAATAGGTGAATTGGTGAGGTTTTATTAATGTATACCTGATGTAAAGAGTAATGCTACTTTATACTGTAAATTTGGCCTTTTTTTTAAATTATGTTCTTCGCACTTGTAATACAAACCTGTCTTTGGAAGAATGAAAATTTTTTGTAGCACGTAACACATCGTACAAAGTATATTAAGGATAAGCCTTAAACGATGTTATGATAGATTTATATGAATATAAACAAAGTTATCACATCTTATACTTGTAAATTGACGAAATTTAAACATCGACGAGATTTGGATATTTTTGACTTACCACATATTGTTAAATTTGATCTTGGTTGGTAATCAATGACGAAATGATTTCTTACGTACTATTAGTTAAAAATAAAATAATTCTTTGATAAATCTTAACTTGCTCGAAAATTTTCAAATCTCTTGAGTGACTCATATTATATCAACCCGACTAATAATCGCCATAGTGGTTTGCGATATATTATAAGCTCGAATAAAAAACAACTTTATTAAAAATATAAACGAGTGATTATTTATTGAAACCATGTTCCACACTTTTTGTATCAGTAAATATTTAGTTGAGTATCGAAATTTTATTTTTAAAAAATTCAACAGTTTAGAAAGAAATGAAAAACAAGTAAATACGTGTTGAAGCATCAATTTGTCTTAATTTTTTAGTATCCTAATTTTTTTATTTTTCTCAAAAATTTTTTTTACAAAAATATCTCCACAGTGGCGTTTTCGTATACAGGTGATATCGTCGCAAGCTCAAGATAGTAGTAGTAGTAGTAGTAGAAGTAGTAGCAGTGGTAGTAGTAGTAGTAGTAGTAGTAGTAGTAGCAGTAGTAGTAGTAGTAGTAGTAGTAGTAGTAGTAGTAGTAGTAGTAGTAGTAGTAGGAGTAGCAGTAAAAGTAGTAGTAGCAGTAGTAGTAGTAGTAATAAGTAATAGTAATAATATAAACAACAACAATGGAAAGAAGATCCTATAAGTGATGACTGCGCAAGAGAAAATCGTAAAAGTTATCTGATGAAATGAGTACATCGGGATGTAATGACGAGGCAGTGAAGGGTTCTCGTACGTACGCGTTTCAGTTTATTTATTAAATTGTAATCGTTACACGGGTTATTGTGTATCTCGTACAGCAAGTTTGCAAGTGATTGGGTAAAATAATATTACCTATCTATAAATAATAGAATATTTTGGATTTTTCCATTTTCTTTTTCATATTCATCTTTATAATTATTTAAATACAAGTGTTTTTTTTTTTTTTTTTTTTTTTTTTTTTTTTTTTTTTTTTTTTTTTAAGTTTTTNAAGGAATTGATGAATTAACGTGACTTTTGTTTTATTATTGTTTTTATTTATTTATTTATTTTTTATTATTAATCGATACAAGTATCATTTATTCCGTCGAAAAGCGCGTCTCGTTTCAAATTCGCTCTCTTCTCAGGTTGCCTTTGTTTCTTACTCCTTTGCTTCGGGCTCATGGAAACGCGTATACACTTTAGTACGAACCATAGAAAATAAAAACGAAAGAGTACAGAGAAAGACAGAGACGGAGAGATAGAAAAATAGAAAGAGCGTGAGAGACACGTGGAGATGTGTGTGCATGCAAAAATGCACATTATTATTAACGATGAACTTTGCATCACGAGCCATCCCGAAAGAGGAAGAAACAAGGCGAGGATGCAATATTTTTTTTTTTTTTTTTTCGGGATCCGAAAGTGAGCGATGGATGAAGGCACGAAAATTTCGTGGGGTGTGAAATAATGTTTCGATATAAATAACATATACATGTTGATTTGCATGTATGTATATAAATATGTATGTGCGTACACGTGATAACAAATAATGGTGTTGAGATGTGTGCGAGCGAGAGAGAGGAAAAAAGCCGAGATGAGAGAAACTTGACGTTATGGCATGGTTATTTTATAAATATGTGTGTACTTTGGACTCGTTAATATCGATCGTCATTGTGAAATGGCCTCGGTGCAACCTGTTGCGGTGTGGTGTAGACTCGGTTTTTGGTTTTCTAGTTTCATCATTTTTCATCGAAAATTTTATTCATAAAATGTCCGGCTTTTAAAAATCATCATCATCATCATCATCATCGTAATAACATAATCAATCAAAAATACAGATGAGCTCGTCCGTGTTTTTAGGCGCTCGATAGATGCGTCCTTACACAAGGGCTGCTCGAGGCAATGTGGTACTTCTCGCTTGCTCCGCCGTCGTTTCTGCTCACTCTTCCTCGCCCGAAAAAAGTGTTGCCTGATGACAAATTGGAAAACCGATACTTGAAAGAGCGTATGATTCGGCATCTACGAGTACAACGTAAATCGGGTGGTTGAACGTACTCTTGTCGTTTGTAATGCTGCGGTACGGGCGAGATGCGCTGAGGGATTTTTTTTTTTTTGGGAGAGGGGGATGGCTCGGGGTCGGGGGAGCCCTACAGCTCCTGCCTCGACTCCTGGACGAGGTAGACCTGGGAGCCGGGGACGGACGACGTGGTGACGAAGCTGCGGTGCTTGGCGCGTATGAGGGTGAGGTTGGACTCGGCGGTGTCGGCCCGATCCTCGGCCGCCTCGAGCTCGCGCTGGAAGCGGCGCACCCTCGTCACGCTCTGCTGGGACATGCCCTCCTGCTCCGTCAGCTGGCGCTTGTAAATGTTGACCTTTTGGCTGGCCTTGTCGAGCGACTCCTGCAGCAGGGCTATGTTCTTCGAGTCCTCCTCGACCTGGATCATCACCTCCTTGATGTTGCGCTCCTTCTTGCGCAGGATCTTCACCGTCTCGGCGTGTCGGCGCTTCTCCTCGTCCAGCTCCAACTCGAGATCACGGATCTAAGCCCAGGGAAGGAAAAACATGACCGATCGATATACACACACATACATATATATCCCTCTCCCTCTCTCTTTTTTTTTTTTTTTTTTTTTTTTTTTTTTTTCACCATTCAATCGAGATGAATAAAAATAGTTGGTAATTGAACCTACCCTGGCCTCGAGTTTGCTGATGATGCGCTTTCCACCGACGATCGCGTTGGCCTCGACCTCCTCGAGGCGCACCGAGATGTTCTTGACTTCGATCTCGAGGCTCTTCTTGATCGCCTCGATTTTAACGATGCGCTCCTGCTCCTCGTGCAGAATCTCGACGGTGTGCTTGAGCTCGTTCTGGACGCGTTGGTAGCGCTCGTCGCTCACGCGCAGCTCCTTCGTCACCTCCTCGTAGTCACCGGCGAGGGTCGACAGCTCCTGCTCGAGCTTCGCCTTCGAGGACGCGATGTTCACGTTTATGGTCGTCAGCTCGTTTATGCGGCTCGTCGCCTCCTCGTACGCCTGCTCGACCGTCCTCTTGGCACGAAGGGCCTGTACACGTGTGCACCAATGCATACACATTTATATATTTATATATATATATACATATATTTCCCGTCAATTACATCCAACCCACTTTCGGTGGTCAAAGAAAAAAGGCTCGCGAGTGCTACTTTCGCTCTATTAATTTATCGGGTGCATGGCGGTGATTTATGAGTTGTATAGTACTCACGGATTCGTAGTTGCCGCGGACCTCCTCGAGCTCGGAAGTCAAGGATTGCAGGCGGCGCTGGCTGATGCCCAACTGATCGAGCGTCACCTGCAGCTGGCGCTGAACCTCATCGTAGTGGGCTTGCAACTCCTGAGAACACAAACGGCACGCGTGTTATTATAGATTAATCGCGCGAGTCATAATTCAACCCCGTACACGTTTGGTTGGCCAAAGTGCACGGCCCAATTGCGCCGGATTTCGATGTGTACACTCGTTTTGTGGCAAATGAGTTGAAAAAAAAAAAACGAAATTCTTTTTTCCTTTTTTTCACAATGCTCCGTCACTTACGGTCAAGGTGAGCGATTGCTTCTTGATGGTCTTCTGGAGGTCGATGTTGGTCTTGTTGGCGACGTCGAGCGACAGCTCGAGCTCCGTGATCTGGATCTGCAGCTTCTTCTTGACGCGCTGCACTTCCGTCTTGAGCTTGATCTCGGCCTCGACGACGCGGGCGTTCAGCTGCTCGATTTCGATGCTGGTCTGCTTGCTGCAATCGGTTTGCACGGGTTATAGATGAAACACTTTTTTTTTTTTTTTTTTTCAACTTGGATATGGAAATAAAAACGAAACGAGTGGTATAAGGTACGGGTTCGAGGAGACATGGTGGGGCACAAGAAAAGCACTTGCGTTTCCCTCACGGAAGGACAGTGTGTAAAAATCATAAAAACTCCACGCACCGAACTGCAATGGCAGTCCTATACGGCTGCACGAAAATATTTAAACGCATCGGGTCGTAAAAACCAACATGAACTTCGGCGGCTCCTAACCAACCTCTTGTCGAGTAAATAGCTACTGTTCCTCTGCTCGAAGCTCTTCATCTCCTTGCTGAGGCTGGCCAGGGGCGTGGTGAGCTTCTCGAGGTCGGTGAGATTCCTGAAGCGCTCCTCCATGAGCCTCTGGTGCTCGGCCTCGTCGTGGTGCACGTGGACGACCTCGCGCTGGTACTTCCTTATGTCGGCAAGCTCCTCGCTCCTCGACAAGTTCATCAGCGCGTTGGCCTTGAGCTGGAACTCGATGGCTTTGGCCGACTTGCCCCGCAGTTGCCGGCCGTGCTGGTGGTACGACTCGGTGGTGGTGGTGCCGCTGGCCACCTCGTCGCTGCACGACTGGAGCTCCCGGAGGGCTTGGCTGCGCAACCCTGCCATCTCCTCCGCCGCGAACTCGGAGTCGGGCTCGCTCGCGGCTCGCCTGTACAGCAACCTCGTCGCCTCCGCCTCGAACTTGCTCGAGTACACCTCCTTCGAGACTCGGGCCGCTTGTACGCACTTTTGCCGACTGAAGTCCGAGCGCTGGGCTGCCTGAGCGTTTATTTCGGGGATGAGAAGCGGATCGATTGTCGGCGCTTAGATGTCAATTAAGATGGACTCGACGCTGAGTTTTGGGATGACTTGGTTTCTTTTTTCTTTTGTTTTTTTGTTTTTTTTTTTTTCATGTATGAGATCAGTGCGTGAGAGTGACAATGCGTGATCGAGGAGTGACAAAGTACTGTTACGATTTATTGAATCACCAAACCGGCAAAAAAACTGATTTTTACTCGTGTGTCCGACTATTTACGCGCTTCTACTACTTAAAAAATTCCCTTTTCAGCCATGGGTGCCACGCCTATACGGTTCTTCCAAACAGCCTGTGCAGCTAAACATACACGCACTTGCGCCGGAGATTAAAAAAGACGGACAGGCCGACGAAAGCCGAACTCAAAAAACCACTTGGCACATACACAGGTATGTATATGCTCCCTGCAGGCCTTTTTCCTTTTTCTCGGCTCGATTGCTGCGGCCCGGGCCTCGCGCGCTCTCAATCACGTCTTGGCAGATGCGAAAATTTCCTCGCGCCAGAAATCCGAGACGCGCCGCTTTTCCCGATGTTTCACCGCGGTTTGGGTGTCGCGTTTAACTCGGGTGGCAACGGAATTTCGTTCATCAAGCGCGACTTTCTCCGTGCCGATCGTTACGTAATGGTACACCAGTTTGTTACTTTGTCTGTGGATGTGTTGCGTGCAAAGGGGAAAAAAACCAAACGAAATTGTGACTATGGAGTGAGAAATCGATACATTGGCACCAACCAGAAAAAAAAAAAAAATAAATAAACTCGAGTAAAAAGTCAAAGTGGTTGGTTTCTCGCGTTTGATACTTATCCGGTGATTGCGTGTAGATTCGGATGAACTACCTCACCACGGAACAACTTACTACGTAATGGCACAAAACTCGAGGCGCACAAACAGAGCACCTGGTCTCTCCTCGGTCGAACGAGGAGTCCTGCCTCGCTCGTCCGCGGCGAGCTTCTGCGGCTCTCTCCCTCTTCCGCGGTACCGATTTAGAAGAGCGGCTCGCGCTCAAAGGTCGGCATACGCCAAGTCGGTGCCCGTACACGCGAGCGCCAATGCCCATCCGTCCCCTCGATAATAAGAAAACAAAGCGCGAGAGTGCACCTCGGTGTTATTAATAGTCAGGCGCGATTGGTATCACACGTATATATATACATACTTACACCCATACGCACCAAAAAGATACTCTCGTGTAATGAAACAAAATTTAATGGACCGTAGGGCATATCCAAAGAGCAAAGACGCGCGGCTGCTTGAGCTAACGGAGGACCGTTGATTCGAAAATTGATTAAATCCCATCGTACGGTCCATTACCACCGTGTCAATTAGAGCAGTTAATCGCGAAATTTAGATCTCGTTTGCAATTAAAAATGACCTTTAATAAAATATATGGAAAAAAAGAGTCTTTAATCGAGTATCCACTTGCAACGGTGTACAATCGCATGTTTTTTTTGGCATGTCCCCACCGATGAATGAAATTCAACGAGAGTGAGTCACGCACATATATGTGCAATTACGTTCGTACATGAATTAAATCGGCCTTGAGCTTTCACGGGTACGTCGGATCTATAGTCTACCTTAAAGTTCTCCAAGTGCTCCTTGGCCTTCATTTCGGTGGCTATAGTGTGCCGTGCGAGCTCGTCTCTGCTGTAGGGCACGATGTAGTTGTGCTCCCAAGAGGCGCGTGACTCCGTGAAGGGTAGCGGGGCCTTGAGGGCCGTGCTCTTGGAGGCCTCGGCGCTCTCCTTTCTGTCGAGGTAGTCGATCATCGGCTGGTAATAGTTTATCCCGAAGCCGTAGTTTTTTTCGTAAATCGTCGTTGGCAGGTGACGCCATTTGGTCGGCGCCACCGGCATCTGCGCCAAAGGCACGTCGGACATTTTTTCCCCTTGGAATGTACGGTTTCACTCTCGCTCGGTATACCCCTTGCCGATTCTCGAGTCGTTGAAATACAGATAAATACACACAGATCACCTTTCGTTGCCTTTTTTTTTTTTTTTTTTTGCTAAATTCTCCTCCCTGATCTTTCCTCTCAACCATCAATCGAAGGGCGAGTAGCGGACTTTTTCTTCGTCGTCGATTTCCCGTAGAAAAATCGTCGAGATCTGACGGTGGTGCTAAAGTCCATTCGCGGACCAAACTCGACGAGAAGTGAGATCGAAGGGTCGCGTCGTCGATGCGAATCTGTCGATACAGAGACGGACGTGCCGTCATTTGTAGATTTTTTTTGCTCGCTTGCGACATGTAATTGACGGATCGCAATTGCGCGCGCAGATATTGACTCTTGGGATTATTAATAGGGCCTCCATCTCTCTCTCTTTCCCCTTAACGATCCACTGACGCACGTGCGATTGAGCGCCAACTATTAATAATTCCGATAAGTGTTTGATCGCTCGCGCTTGGTTCAATGCCTGGGGTGTTTGGTTTCTCTCTCTCTCTTGTAATTGGGACAAGGGTGAGGCTCTCTGACGTTTTCCGCTCTCGGTCGAGTGGACTCTGGCTCACAGAGTCGCTTGTACTTTCAATTGTCACATTTTTTGATTACTTCAAAAAGAACAATCAATATCCGGTGAAAGAAAGTGCAAAAAATTACAGTCTACTGAAAGTAGAAGCTCATCATCTCGTTTATGGGTAAGTTCATTCTTTCAGCTGACATTTGCTCTGCTTCTTCATACGGAACGCTCCCCCGTCTCGAACCAAACTTTTTCCTGAGACATTGGGGCATCACGGTTTTCGATATCTAGCTCGCAAAAGTCAGTATTTTTTTCGATAATTCTTAGACTGCGCATGCACTCAACCCTAATTTTATTTTAATTATAAATACATAAAAATTACAGACTTTTTCGAGGTATCGGAAGCCGTGATAGAACCCATGGAATTAGGTCCCACTGACTGCTGAACTACGTGTCAGCCGATAAAATCTTGAGTCAAATAGTTGTATTAAAAGGTGAAGGGTTGTGAGCCCATCTGTTTCTTGATGACCCGCTGACTACTTATCAATGCCATACCAGTAAATGAAAAAATGCACAAAAAGTGCGTCAAGTTAATCGAAAATCAAGCAGCCACGTGTGGGAGGAAGTTCGTTTTCGCAATGATATCGATCCATCGACTGTTGAATCGCAACATCCTCCTCCACACTATACAAGCGATGACAATAATCAATCGCCGCATGCGCTACAAATATCTCGTTTTCGAAACAAGCCCCGCAGCTGTCGTCGAATATACATGTTGCGGCAATACTTTCATTGATACATCGGATGTATCGACTAGCACTTGTGCCGCGCAACCGGAGAACATCGTGAGAAAACCGAAGAGAGCAACGGGGGTATCAACGGGACGTCAAAGGGACAAGGAAAAGGGAACCACAATCATATAAAAAACACGATAGTTTTTATCGATGTTAAGGTACTCACCGGATGGCCTCGATCTCCTCGTCCTTCTCTGCGATACGGCGCTCGGTCTCGTGACGCAGTTGGCTCAGCTCGGCGGACAGGCGCTGCGCACGCTGCTCCTCGATCTTGCGTCCCTGTACATTTACGTGAAAAAAAAAAAAAAAAAAAAAACAATCCAAATTGAGTTCTTTATGCGCGCACGATACTCAATGATTTAATATTGATTTTAAACCTACAGCCTCGGCTTCCTTGTAGGCGGCAGCTAGTTCTTCGCGCTCGTTTTCCAGGCGACGGAGTTCCAGCTCGAGCTCGTGGAGCCTGCGGTTCATGTCAGCCAGCTGGTTCTTAGCATCGCTAAGATCGTCTGTGGGAAACAAATTTTTTTTGTGATTATTGTTGCATCAGTTGAGAAAAGAAAGATAAGTAAAATAAAAAAAAAAAAAAAAACACCCACCGCCCAGCTTCTTGTTCTCGCGGGCCAGTTGGTCTTTCTGCTCGCGAGTCTTGTCCAGCTCGGCGACGGTGCGTTGGAGCTCCTGCTGCTTGTTGCGCAAGTCGCGTTGGCTGGCCTCGAACAGGTTGATGGTCTCCTCGAGCCGGGACTTGAGGTCGATGTTGGTCTTCTCGAGGTGCTCGACGCGCTTCTGCAACTCCCGAGCGGTTCCGTTGGCCTGTGCGACAAAAAAAACAAATCATTGAATCATGGCTCGAGTGCAAGGATAGAGGAGTTATCACCTTCTCCAAGTCGATGATGAGGACCTCGACTTCGGACTGCAGGCGCGACTTTTGCTTCTCGAGGTTGTTGATCTTCACGAGCAGAGTTTCGATCTGCTCCTCTTGCTCTTGAATGCGCGCCGAGTACTTCCTGCGCAGCTCCTCGACCTACAAGTCAGGGTGCATCATTGGTGGGGATTTTTTTTTTTTTTTTTTTTTTTTTTTTTTTTTTTTTTTTTTT